TATATACAAAATAATGATAGGAATCAATTGGTGTAAAGAAAACATATAGTTGTTTTTGAGAAAAAATATGGAATTGTTAATTGCAAATTACATATTTTTTCTTAGAAACAACTATGTGTTTTCTTTACACCAGTTGATATCTCTCATTATTTTGTACATAAAAGTATGAAGGTAAGATAATCGAAAAATGAATGGTTTACTAGATATTTTAAGGTTTATGTAAAATTAAGAAATTATTTCAAGCCTTATAACTCAAAAAGTACTTAATTATAGTGTTTTAGAAAGCTCTCGAGATAAGCTACAAGAATATGCAATGAAAAATGGGGGGTTCCATTTAAGAAAGTCAAGGTAATCTTTATGCGACTTTCAAATGACTACTATCCAAGGTCAAATTTTTGCCACCCATCTTCTGTCTCCCTCGAAGTCAAGCAACTTTTATTTGAAACATTTGTTGTACATTCAAATATAAAAAAGTTATTGGGGTGGATAAATTAAAATGGCTCACCGTGTATATATATATAATTTTTTACTGTTATGCTTTCATTATTTCCTATTTTGTAATTTAATCATTACAGTCCTGTAAAAATGATAAAATAAGAATTAATAGAAACTTTTTCAGTTATATGTAGATTGCAATGTGCGCTAAACGAATTAAATAAGTGAACGAAATAATGGCACATTAAACTAAACGAAGCAAAATTGATTCATATAAATTTTACCTAAAAAATAAACGTTGCTCCCATTTTATATAATGGGAAAATTATACCGTATAGTAATATAGTCAAGTACGTCCGAATGACTTTGGACAGAAAGTTCAAATGGAAGGAACATGTTAAAAAGAAAAAAGAAGAACTAAACATATAGAAAACTGTACTGACTCAGCCGCAATTTGAAACTATTGTTACATCCCTGGTTCGAGTCACGATCGAGTCCGGTTTGAAAAGAGAAGAAGCCCGTTGTCCGAGAAGAGGTTGTTGACAGCAGCGTCTGTCATTTGAGTCTGATCCCAGCTGTCAAGCTGTGCGGACGCGTATTTGTATCGAGTCGATCCGTGTCATTATTATTGTATGATAACGATCTGTGGTTACGCTCCTGTGTTCTGTGTTGTGCATTAAAGTTCTTAGTTCCTGTAAAGAGTGTTTATTTATTTCGCGCGTCTCACGAGCGGCCGATCTCTTCGTGCGCGCCTTCGATATTAATCGAAGTCCTCGCCGCGGGCGTAACACTATCAATGCAGAATGAATTACTAATTTGCAAATAAATACTTAAATCAGTATGGACGTACGGCACACAATTATAGGGTTATACAAAGATAACAAACATAAAAATGATCCAAACCTTTGAGAATAAAGTACTATGTGGAATAATTAATGCTCTATGATACGAATACATACGAAATAGTGATTTGCATCGCAATCCACATATTAATATAGTCACCGACGAAATTAAGAAAAATGCAACTAAACATAATCAATATCTCCAGGATCATGAAAATTGAAATGAAAATTGTACGTAATGTTGTACAAGATTTGCGACAATTTAAAAAAACTAAACCATATAAGTTTTTAACTTTGTAGAGCTTCTATCATAAAGCGATGCAGATCATTAACTCATTAGCTGTTTTATTAGCTTATTAGCTCATTAGCTTATTAGCTTTTCATCATTATTCTGATAGTTAAATATAAAAATGGCATGGTCTTGTACATGAGGCAAGTTTATTATAAATTGATAACTTCTAATGTACTCGAGTCAGAATCCAGTCATCGCAGCATCGGATATGCGATTTACCATTTTCATAAGTTACCTAATTCCTCACAACCATTTTCATAAGTTACCTAATTCCTCGCACCCTTGGCTTAAACACAAATGTTCCTGGCTTTTCAGAAATGTAAGTCAAATAAAAAAATCCTCTCTATCTTCAAATTATCTGACATAATTTTTCAAAATCTATCTTTTTATATCGAACATATTCTCAACCTTCAAGTAAATATATTAACTACAGAATAAAATTCTAATATTCATAATAGGTGTACTATTATATTATTAGAAACTTTAAAACATTTCAATGAAATTTACTTATGGTTTTCACATATCCTTCCACTTGAACAAATTGTCCTTTTTCAAAAAAAGATATCATTGTCGTAATTCATTATCTGTATTTCCAATTTATAGATCTTATCAGTAATGGATCCATTACCTACTATTTTAAAATTACATGTAATATTAACTCTGCTATATACTTAAATGACTGTTTCTCTTCTAATTTAAGATTTTGATAAGTAGAACAAAGTAAAAATAGTAATAGTAGGGAGAATAGGTCGGTTCTAACCCACTTTTTCCACGGGTGCGAGAGAGAGGTCTTGTAGATCGAGAGAGATAGAAAGATATCTGAGGGGCAGGGTGACGGTGGCGGGGGTGAGTAGGGGGGTAGGTAGGGCGGGGGGAGCCGCTCGCCGTCGGATGGGTAAACGGAGGGTCGTGACGTCACGCGGAGGGGGAATGGCGAGGGGGCGGCGCGGCGAGGGGGAGCGGGCGGGAGAGAGGTTCGGCGCGAGAGCGAGGGAGAGGGCGAGAGAGCGAAGGAGAGGGAGAGAGAGCGCGCGCGTCCCTGGTTATGGCACGCGCGTCCCTGGATACGGCGCGTCGGGAGCATCTCTGGACGCGGCGCGCCAGGCGCGCGCGATAAGCGACGATCGTCCCGTCGGGCGCGTCGCGCGCGACGGGCGACCGCGGGCGCTTCCGCCGGTTCGACGTGCGAGACGGAGATAAGATCGACGTTAATAATAAATAAAAGAAATGCGTTCGACGCGAGCCTGGAAGAGATATGACGTACGATTTGTATAACGTACGATTTTATATAATGTATAATATACGATGTATATTACATTTATTTCGAGGAGGAGGGAATTCGTCGCAAATCGAGGAGAGACGAGGGTGACGTAAATCGAGGAGAGAGAGAATAAATTACATGTAAAATTTTTTTATTATGTCATGAAGTTACATGCGTAGATACATACCTCGAGAATAATATCGGTACTCGCGATCGTTTCGTCTCATTCGAGCGCAGTTATACGGGTAAGTATACGGTTCGAGATCGCGATACATTTATTCGTCGCGCGTAGCGTTTTACAAATTGTGATAGAGTCCGAATAGCAAAACGTGTAACTCGCAGTCGATCAGATCGTTCGCGTTGAAGTGCTCGTGTCGATGAATCGCGTTCGGAATATCGCCGGGATATGGTCGGTCTCCGTCACGATATCTAGAAAACGCGATAACTTAGCGTCTACGGTCTCGAGTATGCCGGTCAACGACGCGATGATGCGATTGACGCATAGCTCGAGAACGAACAGCGCCTTCACGGTGGAGTGCGACAGCGATGCGATTCTTCGGCGTCTCGAATCGCAACGTCTTCAGATTGTTTATCTTGCCGAATCGAAGCGCCACGGTTCCGACGATTATGGACGTCAGAGGGCGCACCACAGCCTCGTCCAAGTCGTTCTTGAAATACGGCAGTATATCGTTGCGCAGAGCGAGCAGATACTTCCACATCTCGGGCGTCAGAGATATCTCCTTTCCATGGCAGTCTCCTAGGACGATGTCGACTTGAGATTCGCGCTTCACGGCTACGGCGATGTCGATGTACTTGTACGCCATCTTGGTCAGCGGATATCGTCTTCCCAATATCCGAATCGGATGTCTCGCGAAATTGATCTCGCGTTTGAAGCCAGTTTCTATTCCATCTGTCGAGATCGGAGAAAAAAAGACGACGCTATTATATGAAATAGCCGATCGAGGCTGAGATCGAGAGCGCTCGGGCGAGGTAACTCGCGAAGCCTCGCGCATACTCACTCGTCCTCGGTGTACAGTCGAGCTTTCTTGATCACGCGCGGAGTGTCGGAACGATCGCGGGTGGTATCCTCGTCTTTGGCGGAAGCCGCGTAATCGTCTCGACGATTAGGCGGGAGCGACGGGGCGACGAAGGGGCCCGTCATCGGTGGCGCCGACGGAGTCGCGGGCGTCGCGGACGAGTCCCCGAACACTCTGTGGTACTCCTGTCCGAGTTCGGCGAACATGATCGGTCTCGCGGAACAGGGCTTCGATGTTCGTAGGAAAACAGTGCGGTAGCGACGGCGTCGTTAACGTTGGTTATCCCGAGGAGAGAGAGAGATTCGTCGGAGACGCTCGCTTAGAATCGTACGCGCGTTAATCGCGAGTATCGTTGGAAATGTCGCGCAACGATCGAGACGCGCCTTATATACGACGCGATCTCGATCATCGTCTCGATATCTTTATTCTCGATGCGCGCGTTATGCGCGTTAATTAATGCAGCGGAAGCGATTTAGAACAGCGGTTTAGAACAGCGGTTTAGAACAGCATATTAAATGTAATCTTAATGTTAGGTTTCAAGATTTTCTGATCTTAGTCGTCATCGTCGTCGTCGCGCGGTCTTTCGAAGGACGCGTATTCCAGACGATACAGCTTGGAGACGAGTTCGCTCAATCGATGCAGAATGCCATCGGCGGGGCATTCTATTCCCAGTATATTAAGGTCGAAGGGACCGGCCGAGATTATCGCGTTGATAAACTCGATGTACGCGTAATACTCGCGTTTCTTCAGAAAATAGAGATTACCGTCGACGTGGCGGAAGGCCGCCGGTTATCGCGGATGGTATCCCGGAAAACGTATCCCGCAGAGCGCCGTGCCTCGCGACGGTCATCGCGCAGTCGTTTATCTCGGCTATTTTATCGTCGTTGTATATGACGTAGCTGCGCCCGGCGTGCGTGTTTATTCTAGCGTCGCGGTAAATCCGACGTATTCGACGGATCTAGGCCATCCCGCTTTAAGATGAAAATTCGAATCGGCGAGGTAGACGTAGTCGCCGGCGAATATCGCGATATCGCCCGAGGGTCTCTGATACATGGCCGATACGCGAGTGAGATTGCGGGGGAGGAACTTGAAGTAGTCGGCGAACGAGAAGGGCGCTCCGTAGCGTCTCTCCCTCATATCGACCATACGTTGCGTTTACGCGCGACGTACAAGCGACGATTCATGATTAGCGCTCCGTCTATGCGCTTTAAGACGCATAGATTCGCGTTATCGGAGGGAGCGAGCGGCGTCTTAACCGTCCTCGCGGTCGTCGGCGGCGCCGCGGTCGTCGTCGTCGTCGTCGTCGAGGCCGTTGTCTTCGTAGTCGTCGCCGCGGTCGTCGGAGTAGCGTCGACGATCGTAGGATTCGTCGTCTCTCTCGATCCGTAGAGATTTCGTACGTTTATGACGTCCTCTATGCTCAGTCTGAGCGGATATCGCCTTTCCTCCGAAGGCGTGTACGCGTACATGACCGAATCTTCCCTCATACTGTGAGTCAGACCCAGAGTGTGACCGATCTCGTGCGTCAGCGTCTGAAGGAGATACAGTCTGTCCGACGGGGGTCTGGTCAGCGTGATGTGCCACGGCTCCGTCTCGTCGACGTGCACCTCGGTCACTTGATTGGGCTCTCCCGTCGGAAAGAACACGTGAGCGACGACCGATCCCGGTCCCGCGAACGGCGACGGGCGCGAGCCCCCGTTGTCGCTGTTCTCGTACGCGTGAGCGCCGGATTGATAGGATATCAGTATATCGGGGCGCAGCGGGTCGCGTGAGAACGTCATAGGATTGCTCGGACCACAGAGCGAACGCGCTCTGAGTCGTGCGCAGAGTATCTCTGTTTCGCTAGATTGAAGTTCCACGTGAGATGCGTCCTCGGCCACTTTCTCGTCAACGGGCTGTAAGCGTGAATGTCCGCGACGCCGCATCGCGGCCTGCGCATGACGTGAATCGTTTCCACGGTCAGAACGCCGTTTCCCGGCAGGCCGTAGTATTCCTGAAACAATGATAGCGCTTCGCTCAGGGCGGTCGCGTTGTCCAATAGCGACAACTGCTGATGATTCTCCTCGTTCTCCAGAAAGCCGTAGGTTCAAAGATAACGGGACGCTTCCGCGACGTCATCGTAGGTCAGTGCCGTCGCGACGGCCGCGAGCAGGGATATCGTCAGCGCGAGCGATAACGCGACGCGCGTCATGGCTCTCGCGAGGTGCTAGCGCGCGGGGGTCGGGACGGTAGTGAACTATCACGCGCGCGCGCGTCCTTCGGCGATATATCAGTAGGTATACTAGGCCGGTTCTAACTCAGGTCCTCTTAGGGACGTGAGGTGCGAGGGGATCTCAGCGGAGCGGGGGTATGACATCACGCGGGGTTTGCGGGGTGGGTGACTCACGTTGAATGACAAGCATAAACAAAAGGATAAAAAGAGTGGTATTCTTTTGAAGAGGATTATGAGCTTAACCCAAAAAATCATTTTGTCCTTTTGTATTATTTTATTTTATGTTATCTTATTTAATTTTATTTTTTAAGGAAAAATTTTAACGGCGCCAATGTTCGGCTGCTTTGTCTGGGGATTGTCCAATTAGACGCAATACAATTGGACACAACAAGTTTTGATTGACTAATCGTAGGTATCTCCTTTGTCTTCTCCCTCCCCTTCCCCGTTTATATATCAGCGCCGATGTTCGGCTGCTCTCGAGGTACACTCCTAATATAGATAATTCTAGGTTTTTTTTCCGTTCGACGTATAAACAATACAGAGTAAGCTGACAAACTTTCAGAGATTATCGGGAACACAAAAAAATTTTTTTTTGCAAATGGGATACTGTAAAAAAAACCTTTTACACAAATGGGATATTATAATAAACTTTTTATACTCTTTTTTACCCTTATATATATTTTTATAACTTTATTTCATAAACTTACATTTTTGAAATATTTCAGTCCAACCTTATCAAGCAATCTGTGTAATATAATAGCACATTTTCTACGATCCTAGGTACATTTGCAAGAAAATTTCTTTTGTGTCCTCGACAATCTCTGAAAGCTTGTTGGTCGAATATAAGAAGGATTGAAGCGCAGCAGATCATAGTACGTCATTTGAAAACGCATCGACACGTCGGTAGCAAAAGTAGTGTTCTCTCAGAAAGTATAGTGTTTTGTCAGAAAGGATAGTGTTCTGTTAGAAAGTACAGTGTTCTATCAGAAAGTGTGATAATATATATTGTGTGATAATATATATAAAATGGAAGACGAAGATCACGCGTTATCATCCGACAGTGACTGTGTCAGTGACTGCAGTGAAGACCTTACACAAGTCAGAAACAAAATAGTGTCTGTTGCAGAGATCAATGCGTTAAGCGGACGTAAAAATTATTGCACTATATATTTTTATTATTCGACTGGCGGCGCTTTAGCCGTATGTGCGTCCTGCATGATTGAGCTGCAAGGTGTAGATCCCCAAATTATGTATGCAGTTCGGGAGCATACAATTGAGACATTGGATGCAACGGATGGACGATACTGTTCCAATTGTAGAGAACCACTATATCTGACATTTCCGTGCAACATGTGTCCGCAATGTACGCTGTGAAAAAAAAACATTGAATAAGACTGTATAAAGTGCGAGCAACGAAAAAATTAATGAACATGTCGATGTTTAAATATTTAAGAAATCGCGAACTTGGTGGAAGAAATTCTCCAATCGCGACCTTCGATCTAAAATCATATATACAGATCAGAGAGAGGAACAAACTAGAGGCAGCCATTTGCAGAAATTGCTGTTTGCCAGGTAGGAATCGAGAAGCGTGTTCCGAAAGGATGCGAGGAATCCATTAGCATAACTATCTATTGTAGAATATATCATCAGTTATGATTTTGATTCCGATTCTGATACGGATGCTGATCATTAATTGGAGGTAGGTCGCATGTGTAGGTACTTATTTTCAAATTATTCAAATAATTAATAAATTTTTTTATGTGCAGAAAGAGTCACCGACCATCACTCCGCACCGTCACCACTCTTCCACCGGCCGCCCCACCATCGCCTCTCATCGACACCACCACCACCATATCGTCGTTGTCGTCGTTGTCATCGCCCTCCTATTATATTATTCAATTATATATATTATTCATTTACATTTTGTATTCCTTTTTATACTTTTATAATTGTATTATATATTATATAATTGTATATATTGTGTATTTTAAATTCTTTTAAATTTTGTTCGTACATTATCTTTTACACATTTATATTTTAAATTCTTTTAAATTTTTCTTACAGTATCTTTTTTTTTACACACTTTATATAATATACATTTATATTTTAAATTCTTTAAAATTTCTTTTACACACTATGTATAACACACATTTATATTTTGTATATTTTAAATTCTTTTGCACACTATGTATAATACACATTTTATTTTATTTTATTAAAAATTAATTAATTAATATAAAAAAATCTTATTTATTTTCAAAATTCCTCTCATTTCATTGCTCCATTTATTACTAAATTATAACAAAACTATTAAAAAATTATATTTAAATTAACAAAAATATTTTCATTGCGTGATATCTCTTCTCTCACGTGTACCATATCACTCCTTCTGTCTCTTTCTTTCTTTCCTAGTGTTTGCTCTCTCATGATAATTCTTTCGCAAGGAGCTATTCATGAAAGCTGAGACGGGAGAGCGCGCCAAACGCAAAGAAAGTACATCATGATATAGATTTATAACTATTTATTCTGTTTAAATATTTAGTATACAAATATAATTTTTGTCTTACATATTAAGAATTAAAAGCTAAAGCTGCCAGCTCGCAATCGACGAGTTGATGCTTGTTGAAAACATCACTCGCGCGTATTACATATGATACTTCTTTCGGATCCGTTACAGTGGACGCGATTGCAGAATTGCGTAAATTTGATATCAACTGTTTGGATAATTTTATCTAATCGATCAAAAGTTACATCTATGCATTGATCGAGATCGAACATACGATGTAACGTCGATTCGACCATCATCATGCGTACATCCGAAGATTCGAGACTTATGAGTTTGACGTCGTTAATCGTACAAACTCTCACTGTTAGCGGTCCGCTTATGAAATTGTAGTCATCCTTAGAGTCGTTCCGAAGTAAATTTTGAATATTGCGACGTTGCTCGTAGAGCCCTTTCCACGTTTCGAGAGATAATATCAGTTCCTTTCCTCGATGATCTCCTATGGCAATCTCCACGTAATTCGATGAACCCACGTTGATACCAATTTCGAGGAATTTGAATTCCGTAGCTGTCAATGCGTATCGTCTATCTAGTATACGAGTCGCACGACGCTCCAACGAAATGCTATAGAAAAATTAAAATTCAATAATAGTAATAATAATACAATTATAAAAATAGAAAAAAAGTTAAATGAAACTTACTCGTCACATTTGTTCTCAAACGATGAAGTTTTATTACGACTCGGCACGTAATTATTATTCACGCGTCGCTGCCGCTACTGCTTCTTTCGACGTAGTACATTTCTTTGAAGGTTATGAAAAGTGAACCACGAGCGGTTAACGCGAGACTGATCGTACAGGAATTAACCGGGTATACGTGACGCTCATCTTCCAAAAGTATAATGTGGTGGGGGGATCAATGCTTCTAACGCTTTGAATTTTAGGAGAAGGGTGAAATAACGCTCAGATAAAATTTTTAGAAACGCAAGGAAAGGTCTAGGGAGGGGAAATAAGAGATAAAACACATATTAATGTTTACATATTTGTTTTATTTTCTTGTAATTCTTTCTGGCGTTGCGACCACCAGTTAAATATTTTAAATACATTTTGTAATGCGCAATTCTTAACATGTTTTCCACATCGCATACTATTGATAATATCTAATTTATTTAAAGCATCAATATCTTCGTAATCTGCATCCAAGGTTTCAATAATATAGCCATTCCTCGCATCGTCTAGTATATCGGTCAACCATTTTCGCTTTTTAAGTCCTTTAACGTATACGACAGATGATTCTTCTTCTTCTTCTTCGTGTATCGTACCAACGACAGCTGTTGTAATTACACGCTGAGCCAAACCATACGGAACGTTTCCGTCTTCCCATTGTAATCCCTGATGATTTCTAGTCAACCATGAAACTTGACGTTGATCAGATTTTGTAAGCACGCTCCACGGTACGGGACTTGCGAAAAAGTAATGCGATAGAACATATCCCTTTCTCAAGACTGCCGCTTCCTTCACGAATAATAGTTTGCCGATGGTAAAACCTTGCAGATCCACAAACGTTGGTACAGACATGGCGAAATCTCTCTCTTCGATACATCAGTCGAGAGGAATGACAAAACTTTAAAATCATCTCGTAACACTTTGCTTTATATCCTGCTCCTCCTCCCCTCTCTCTTCTGTCGATGTTATCGCCTAGGTGATTTTGTGTACAACGTTGGTCAACGGATTGTACTGGATCACGCGATCGTGTAAGATGAGACAGTACGCAGTGGTATTCGGCGGTACGTTCTCCTTACACTCGAATTCCAATCTCACATCCACGGTCGCGCTCTTGACCGATTCGTTTTGTCGAGAACAATCGATAATCGAACGACCGTTGAGAACGGACCGTTGAGAAACGTCCTGACGGTGAGACTCGGCTCGAGATACTCGTGTACGTAATAATTCTTGCAGAAGCGTGCGTACGTTTCATACAGAATGGCATATCTGCCTTTTTCGAAATCCAGATTCATATCGTCGTACGGATAATATTCCGAATTCAGATAGAGTTTCACGTTGATCAAATTGCAGTTGTCGAATGCACCCACATCCTTAGACATGACATTCTTCCGACCTGTCTGCAGAGCGAAGATAACGTATCGTGGTTTCTCCAGCTGAGTCGCAGTCTTAATGGCCCACGAATGCTTGGTTGTAAACTGCAATAGC